ATACATAAAAAATGAATAAATGAATGAATAGATAAATAGATAAAAAATAGATATATAAATGTATAAATAAAGAGATAAATAAATAAATAGATAGATAAATAAATAGATAGATTAGATAGATCGATAAATAGATAGATAGAGAGACAGATAAATAGATAAATAGATAGATAAATAAAGAGATAAAGAAATAAATAGAACAATTAAATCCAGTCATATATCGATATATTGATTGCAGATATCGATATCTCAATTAAACCCAATCAAATATCAATATTTTAATTAAAACCATTATTAATTAATTATTAATTAATCCCCACCAAGTCCAGGATGCGGATGGGGAGGTTCTCCAGCCCCGCGATGGCTCCGATCCTGTTGTGGGACAGCCCCAGATGGGTCAGGTATCGATATCTCAATTAAACCCAATCAAATCTCGATATAATAATTAAAACCTTTAATTAATAATTAATTAATCCCCACCAAGTCAAGGATCCTGATGGGGAGGTTCTCCAGCCCCGCGATGGCTCTGATCCTGTTGTGGGACAGTCCCAGATGGCTCAGATATCGATGTATTGATAAACCCAATCAGATATCAATATTTAATTAAACCCATTAATAATTAATTATTAATTAATCCCACCAAATCAAGGATCCTGATGGGGAGGTTCTCCAGCCCCGCGACGGCTCTGATCCTGTTGTGGGACAGTCCCAGATGGGTCAGGTATTGATACATTGATTAACCCAAATCAATTATTAATATTCTAATGAAAACCATTAATAATTAATTAATAATTAATTAATTATCCCCACCAAGTCCAGGATGCGGATGGGGAGGTTCTCCAGCCCCGCGACGGCTCTGATCCTGTTGTGGGACAGTCCCAGATGGGTCAATCGGTGACAATTCTGCAGCCCCGAGATCTCCTCGATTTCGTTGTCTGGGAAGGGATTTTTTTAGGGGAAAAAAACCCCAAAATGGGAGCGGGAATTATGGGATGGATTGGGGAATAAAGGGAATTTTGTGTGGATAAAAAAAAAAAATAATCCTGATCGTTTTTAAATTAAATTATTAAAGTTATAAATGGTAATTTAATGGGTTTTTCACTCTAAATTAAGTGGAAAATGCTCAAAAGATTCAGAAAAAAATCTAATTTTTTTAATTTAATTTTTTTAATTTAAATTTTTTTATTTAAATATTAAAAAAATTGACTTTTATCCAAATGAAGTGTCCTATTCTATCTGTTCTGAGAGGAAAAATGGTGTTTTAAATTAATTTCAATTGAAATTAATTAATTAATAAAATTTTATTTTTATTTTAATAATACCAATTTTTAAGAATATCAACTTTAAATAATAATAATATGAATTTTTATCAGTATCGATTTTTAAGAATATCAATTTTAATATTAATATATTTTTTATAATTAAAATATATATCTTATTAATTTTTAATAATATCATTTTTAATATCAATATCAGTTTAAAATAATAATATCAATTTTTAATATTAATATTATCAATTTCAAAAAGTAATCGATTTTTAATATCAATTTTAATATTAATATATATTTTAAATAATTATAATAGCTATCTTAATAATGTCAATTTTTAATAATAACAATTTTAATATCAATATAAATTTTAAATAGTAATCGATTTTTATTAATACCAATTTTAATATGAATATATATTTTAAATAATTATAATAGATATCTTATTAATTTTTATTAATATCAATTTTAATATCAATATAAATTTTAAATATTAATCGATTTTTAATAGTATCAATTTTTAATAATAATATCAATTTTTATAATAATATTAATTTTTAATAATACCAATATAATTTTTTTAAATACCCCAAATATTCCCGAAGTTATCACCATCAACACTTCATTAAATTCACATCACCCTCAGCACCAAAATCACAATTTTTAATCTGAATTTTGAGGATAAAAGTGAGGGGGAAAAAGGAAAAAAAAAATTAAATATTTATGTAAAAAAAGGAAAAAATTAATTTTTTTCCCATTTTTTATCTTGGAAAGGATACAATCGAGGAGGAGTTTGGTGAGGCAGCGATAGGCGGATAAATCCCGCATTCTGGGGATGTGGTTGTGGGAAAAATCCACCTCCTGAAAAAAAATAAAATAAATTAAAATAAAATAAATTAAAAAAAAATTTAAAAAAATTTAAAAATTTAAAAAAACCTATATATATATATATATATAAAACAAAAATTTAAATCCCGCGTTTTGGGGATGTGTTTGTGGGAAAAATCCTCCTCCTGAAAGGGAAATATAAAATAAAAA